CTCAAATGAATTCTCACCGTCGAGAAATATTTCGGAGATCTTGAGAGAGATACTGAGACATGATATGGTCATATAACATTCTTCCCCGATGTGTTCTTCACGAGAATTTGTCTTCGGGCCATTGAATCACCGCCATATCACCGTTAGAGAAAAGCCCGAAAGTACGATTTTTCTCCGTACTTGTGGATGAGCTCCGCGTTCTCCCATTTGTAACTTCATTCACCCGGCAAAGTAGGTAGCGATTCAAGTACCCCCCACTCTCACTTCCCCCACTTCCTCCTCCATCATCCCCTTCTTCAATTCCCATTTCTCGCTTGCAGACTTTATGTTTCAACTCGCTCTGTTTCGCTTTCAGATATAGTAGAAAATGCATCCCTTTGCCATACACATAACCCCCTCTTTCCACCCCCCCCCCCCCCCCCCCCCCCCCATCTCTCTCACTCTCACCCTTGTATAACCCAAAGCGAATCCCCGGGGTCGCCCAATTGTTTCAGCCCCGTTGATCCAATAAAGGATTATGGCGAAACAATCGTAGCGTGCGCGCCGCCATGGATTTTACGTAAACGGCAAAAGTTTCTCTTCCATCCCAGCGCGTCATTGCATTTTATACTTTTCCTCTTTCACTCGGAATTTTTTTCGCCATTTTTTTAACGGGATCCTGGGGTAAAACGGATGTCCATTCGAGATTGTTCTATTGTTAATTTTTTATTTTTTTCTATAAACTGTTAAAGATATCTTGAAATTTCAGTTACAAAGGAATTTAAATTGCTAATTAGATGAGTTTTTTTTTTAATATCAATTGAGAGGGGTTACTAAATTTCTCATTTATCCTGAAGGTGAAAGAAAATTGAAGCTTTTGTGGTGAATGATAATTGATTTTTTTTTTAGAGTTTGAATTTTTAATCTCATGAAAATTGGTAACAGTTGGGTAATAATTGAATTATTCAATTAATAATTGTAAATAATTGAATTATTTAATAATTGAACAAGAAAATTAAAAGCTTTAACATTTCACTGATAAAGGCTTTTTAACAGTGAAATTTGAGAGACTTAAACAGTGGATTTAGTGTCGAGTGCTGGAGGTTTCAAGAGAGGAAAACATTTGTTAATTTGAGGGGAAAGTTTGAACCTGAGGGAAGTCAATCGTGATTTTAATATACGGAATCGCATTCCTTTCAATTCAACGAGTTCGGAGTTCTGGTTATCATTCTGAAGAGATTGCTCTAGTCATTAACTTTTTAGAAACAATTTAAACAGTTTACACATGAGACATTCCACAAAAACCTCTGGAAACTTCTGACCTTGAAACATTAATCTCTCCATATCTACACAACTCATTATAAATTCTGATTATAATACATAATTTCCACTCGCAAATATTTTCCCCTCCTAAATGATTTTAAAAAATAATATAATATCAACCAATTTAACAATAAAACAATTTCATTGTTGTCAATTTCCAAAAAATTTTCCCTTTAACGAATTTCATAATTATAATTATAATTAATATAATATATTAATTATTTGATTAATGATTAACATTATTTCTGAAATGAGCGTATCCCTTTTATTTTTATTAATTCCCTTAAGATTTATTCAGATTTTTCAAATTTCTCTTATCGATTATTTTTTAATATTTTAATAAACGAATTGTTGTTATGAACTTTTTTCTGATTTCAAAATGAAGTCTTATCTATCCAAGTCGTTTGATTTAATTAGACACGTGACATGTGCCATAATTATCATGACAGAATGAACTGACAGTGATGTTTACATTTTATTTTACTTCGTCTACCTACAACAAAAATCCAATATTAAAAATGGATTAGGAAATGTATTGCAGTGTTGTACTCCCAGCAAGTAGAAATTACCGCGACCTGGTCAGCCCCTCCGGAGGATCGATAATCCGATAATTAATCTTTAACACAATATTTACCCTCGATATTAATCACCAAACTATTCACCTAAAATTGAATTGTACGTGGAATGTTATTTCAGGAAAGGGGGAAACCGTAGACTTCCTGAAATTGGATTTTAGAGGGTCTTGGGGCGGAGCCAGACCACCGGACGATTATAATTGAATCAACAGTCACCGCCCATGGTTTCCCATCTTCAGACCCTCTTTCAGTAAAAGTCATAACGCAATAAAAATGAGCCCCGGAAATAAAGCAGAAACCAGTGGTGATCAAATATTTCCGGTTTGAACAAATAAAGATAAATAGATTAAGTAAATTAATCAATTTATGTACGAGACTCCCTCTCTAGATCATACTTGCGTCAAAGGTCAAAACATGACATTTCACTTTTGAGAGTGCACCCTAGGTGCTTTCTACTCGCAATTGAAAATGTCATGGACGAGTTAATCAACATTACCCGCAGGAATAAAGATAGGAACAGAATAAAAGCTTAATTGCGATTAACGTCATGATCATTTAACGCGTATTTAGCAAATTCACGTTTTCATTGTGTTTAAAACAAGATTAGGGTACCGCGGAGTGATGAACATGTTTTCATTTAAATTAGTGTAATATCAATTAAAACTGTCGAATGTCTTCCTCGGTTTACAGAATGATTATCTAAAATGATAAGCGCCTTGTTGAAAATCATTTAATCATTATCAGATTGACTGTCAAATCAATGGTTTCCATAAGTTCTTTTTTAAATTATTTGAGGACGTAATAAAGTCATCATAAAAAATATATTCGAGGGCCACCGAATTCATTTCCAAAC